TTTGGAATAGTTTGATCAGACCCAAGGAGTAGTGATTGATAGTTTGATTATAAAAAGTCAGTAGCTGGTGGAATGTCCCATAGATTTTTGCTTGGACCTATGTTGTCTAACATTTTTATTATGGATTTGTAAATGACACAAAGCTAGGAGGGATAGCTAATGTACTGGTTTAGAACCAAAAAGATCTGAAAAATTAAGAGATTGAACTGACTCTAAATTTCATAGGGATAGATGTAAAATCTTATATTTGAGCTCAAAGAAATGGGCTTTATAAAACCAAGACAGAGGAAGCATGTTTAGATAACAGTCTGTATGAAAGAAAAAAAAGATCTAGGAATTTTAGTGGACTGTGAGCTTAATAAGAATCCACTTTGTGATAGTTTAGCCACAAAAGATAAGTGAGCTTTGGCTGTCTTAAGAGATGAGTAGCTTTCAGGAATAATAAGTGGGTTTTACTTGTGTATTCTGCCATGGTCAGATCACATCTGGAATAAATTGTGTTCAAATTATATTGATAAGCTAGGAGCATCTAGAGGAGGACGAGCAGTATTTAACAAGTATATCAACAAGTATTTAAGTTCCTACTACGTATACCAGGCATAGGAGTGAGGGATACAAAGAATGAAACAGTTTCTCCTCAGAAAGAGGTCTTACATTCTAGTCAGGGAGATAAGTACATGTGAAAGTGCCTATGTGTGTACCTACATATACATGCACGCACATGCATACACACACACACATTCTTGCATGCACACTTCTCTCTGCAACATGCAAAACAGGTGGTCAGCCTTTGCTTGTAGATCTTCAGTGAGGGAGAAATTCTAATTTTTAGGAAGTTTTACTTTAGAGTAAACCTAAATTTCTTCTTTGCAACTTCTACCAGTTGATTCCAGTTTTGCCCCTTAGGTTCATACAGAATAAAATATCTAGATACAAAGTTAGTAAATACAAATCTGCAAAGTAATATTAAATACAAGATAAGAGGGAGGGGAGGGAGCTAGCAGTTGGAGTGAATAGGAAAAAGCTTTGTCAAGAAGATAGTGCTTCAGCTGTTTCTAAAAGGAGAGGGACTCTGTGAGGCAGAGGTAAAGAGAGTGCATTTCAGGCACGGAAGATAGCCAGTACAAAAAGACACACAAATGGGAGATAGTGTCATGTGTATGAAAGTAAGCTTGACTGGATCATAAAGTGTGGAACAAGAGTAATGTCCAGTGATGCCGGAAAGTTAGGTTGGGGCTAGATTGTGTAGTGCTTTAAAATCTAAATAGAGGACTTTATATTTTATTTTAGAAGCAATAGGAAGCCATTAGAGATGATTGAGTAGAGGAATCACATGGTTAGATCTGCATTTAAATTACTTGGGCTGCAGTATGTAGAATGGACTAGGCTAGGGAAAGACTTCAGACAGAGAGACCATTTAGGAAGCTGTTGCAATAATGTGTAATAAGGTTGTAGGTGTGTGAGTGGAGGGAAAGGTTCAGACATGAGAGATATGAAGGTAGAAATGGAAAGATCTGGCATCTGACTACGTGAAAGGAAGGGAGAGTGAGGAGTCCAAGATAATGCTGAGGTTATGAGCTTGGGAGACTGGAAAGATGGAAATGCCTTCAATAGAATTAGGGATTTTTGGAAGAAAAGAGGGTTTAGAGGGAAAGGTAATGGGTTCAGTTTTGTATATGTTAAGTTTAATGTCTCAGGGACATCCACTTTGAAGTCTTTAGTGGCTAGTGGATGATGTCAAATGGTGAAGGGCCTCAAAATCATGCTATATGGTTTGACTGAGAGAACTTGATATGTTTATCTGAGATAAGAGAATACTCAGGGAACATGACAAGTGTTTGAAGGGCTGCCATGTAGAAGTGATATTAGACTTATTCTTTATGAACCTGGTAGGTGATGGGTAGAAGCTGCAATGAGGGAAATTTAGGTTTAACGTAAGTGAAGACTTCCTAATGATTGGATCTATTTGAGAGTAGAATGAACTACTCTCAGAAGTAGTAGGTTCTCACTCATTGAGGTCTGCAAGCACAGGCTGGATGACCACCTGTTAAGTATATTGTAGAGGAAATTTGCAAGCCAGTTTATATTCTAGAGGGGCAGCTAAGTGGTGCAGTGGATAGAGTGCTGGGACTGGAGTCAGGAAGACTCCTCTTCCTGGTTTCAAATTTGGCCATTTACTAGCTGTGTGACCTTCGACAAGTAACTTAACCTTGTTTGCCTCAGTTTCCTTATCTGTAAAATGAGCTGGAGAAGAAAATGGCAAACCACTCGAGTATCTTTGGGGTTGCGAAGAGCCCTCTATGACTGATAACTACTGAGCAGCAACTTATATTCTAAAAGTCTTGTTGTCCTTAAGTGCAAGAACACAGAATCATAAAATTTCAGAGTTAGAAGATAACTCAGTGGTCATCTAGCCCAATCCATATCTTAGTCTGCCCAGACATTGTATCTCGTTGCATCATTTGCTTCTAAAACTTTAGATGAGCTTTAGTCTCCCCAGTTCCTGGAAATTTGGGGCTCCATTTGTGGAGGCTCCATTGAAAGGAGCTACAGTGTAAGAGTTTCTCAGGCCCCTCCAAAGCCTTACTAGGCTGTCCTGGTCTAGAAGCCATATAGCATCCTGACAGTGCAGAACATAGGCTACAGATGGAGCTGGACACATTTTAAGCCAGTCTAAAAGGTGAGACCTGAATTAGTTATGTGAACTGGGTGAAGGAGCACAGAAGCATTTTCAAAGGAAATGGACTTTCCGTGGTGTATACTTTGTGGTATTTCATGTGTATTATTCACTGACATGTGATGAGTGAGACTGAGAGATCTCCTTTTCACATTGTGAACTGTTTGTCTCTGTCTCAGAGAATATAGGGACTAGTGATTTCTGCCAGGTACAGTTCTGAGTCCTTGCTCTTTAGGATGACATTTCTCATACTTGCCTCCCTCAAGAATGATGACTGAGAGTTCTAGTGATTGGAATTAGGGTGCCTTCTTAAAACCTAGAATCAGCATTTTCTGAGTCAGGATGGCCTGCCATACCTGATATTTATTTATCTCTACCCTCCCCCCCCCCACCTGACAGAATGATGAGCCAGAGTGATAGGGTCAGCCACAACTTGAGGACTTTTTTCTTTTCTTTTCTTTTTTTAAATTGTAATTCCTGCCACTTCCCTCTTTTGGTCTAATGATTGGTATTTGTCATTAGGAGGAAGTAGACAGTTCTGGATCAGGAAGAGGATCCTTCTGGTAATGAGGTTTTCCATAATGCCTAAAGAGGAATAATTTGTAATAAATTTAGACATATAGATGGATGGAATGAGGATTCTGAATGGGTTTTAAGTATCCAAAAGAATTGTTTGTGTTTGATCCTGTAGATCAGTGATGTAAACTCAAATAGAAAAAGGATCCCTGTGGGAACCATATAGATTTAGAAAAACAGAAATTAACATCTGTGTTGTATTGTGTTTATGTTTGTTTTGCTTGACATTTCCTAATTACATTTTAATCTGGTTCTAACTGCACTCTGGAGTTTTGCATGGGTCAAGAGTTTGCCGCCTCTGCTGTAGATGAGAGCTTCTTAAACTATGGGACCCACAGTTTAAGAAGCACTTAAGGTCATGAGTGGAAAAAGTTTTAAAAGCCCTGCTCTAGATAATAGGAAGCAGAATTGATTGGATATGGGATTTGCATGGTAATATTTGAGCCTTTCACTTTCATCTATGTGAAGGATGCATTGGAGAGGCAACAGATTATTTTTATAGAATAATATCCACATTTTGTGATAATTACATATATTACTAGGAAAGGCTTGAAAACTATGTTGCATCTTAGTAACTAACTGCCTTGCCTATCAGTTTTCAGAGGAAGAAACTTTTTGGTAGCTAGGTGATACTGTGGCTAAAACAGTTCAGATTGGGCCTCTGACACTTACTACTTGTGTGACCCTGGGCAAGTCCCTTCTATCTGCCTCAATTTCTTCAACTGTAATGTAGGAACATTAATGCCTCCCAGAGTTGTTGTGAGGATCAAATGAGATAATATTTGTAAAGCACTTAGCAGAATTCCTGGCACATAGTAGGCACTTAATGAATGCTTGTTTCCTTCTTCCTTCCCTCCCTCCCTCCCTTCTTTCCTTCCTTCCTTCCTGACTTCCTTCATTGAAATTAAACCAAGTAAAAGATGCTCCAAATCACTCAAAATTAGAGAAATGCAAATTTCTCTAGAGAAATTCAGAAACTCAGAGGTTCTACTTCACACCTGTTAGATTGTCGGAGTTGACAAAAAAATGAAAATGATAGGTATTGGCAGGGTTGTCAGAACATAGGCCATTGATGAATTCCATTGATATTGGAGCTGGGAATTGGTCCAAGCATTCTAGAAAGCAGTTCAGAACCAGACTCAAGTCACAGAACCATGCATGCTCTTTGATCCAATGAAACTACTCCTAAGCCTATATTCCAGAGACTTAATTAAATATATTTTAAAAATAGTTATAGTAGTGAACTAGAAACTAAAGGGGTGGTCACCAATTAGGAAATGGGTGAATGAATTTTGATATATAAATGTAATGGAAGGTTACTGCAATGCTAAAAGGAATGATTTCAGAAAAACCTTGGAAGACTTGTATAAATTGATTTAGGGTTAAGTGAATAGAACCAGGAGAACAATTTAATAATAGCAAAACACTATAAAGAAAAGAGGCCAATATGGCTGAAAGATGAAATAATAGAGTCTTGAAATATTAGCATTATTATTAAGATGTTAGAGTTTTTTCCAAGTTGTCAGTGAGGGTCATTGGTAGATGAACAGATTGTGATCCTGGGCAAATTATTTAATTACTCTGCTTCATTTCCCCAGTCTGTAGCATAAGAACAATCCTTTGTGAAAATGAGATTGTGGTGTTGGAGGAAATGTTTGTTCAACAAGTTATCATTTCAAGAAAGATTGAACTGTGCTGCTGGTGAATGGTTTAAAATTAATAGAAACTATTTAATTTAAAATTACAGCCAGTCGGATGATGATTCTGGATCAGCCTCTGGATCTGGTTCTGGATCAAGCTCCGGAAGCAGTAGTGATGGGAGCAGCAGTCAGTCAGGCAGCAGTGATTCTGACTCCGGGTCTGACTCAGGCAGTCACTCTGATTCTGAGTCAGATACTTCTAGAGAAAAGAAAGTACAATCAAAACCACCAAAAGTTGATAGCTCTGAGGTAAAAAACAAAACATTCTAATGTATGTATCTTGTATTATTACATTTTTTCCTTAGTTCATTTTTAGACATTTTTAAAGGATTCTTTTCCTTTTAAAAATACATAAAATTTTAAAAATAGTAAATTTTCATTTCAGCCTTACTTTCTGCAGATATTTTGCCTATGTATTTAGGAATTATTTTTGGCAGCAAAAAAAATGATAGGTGGCTAAAATAAAGCACCTTAGTCCATGAATTGCAAATATGGGAACACAGATCTTGCATATTTCAGAAGCAAAACATAACTGTCTCTTTTCTTCTGAAACTCTGTTCATTAATTAGTTCTTAATGAATAAAGGTTAGAAAATATTTTGTAAGGTCATCTAATTCATCTGCCTCAAAATGATTCTGTTTCTATATTTAGATTCTTTAATATCTATCAATAGCAGGAAAATCTAAGCAAACTCACTTCCTCTAGAGATACTTGGTATAATGCTTTTTGATCAAAATAAGCTACCGTAACTAAAATGTTTAGATGTTCATATTAAATAATATTATATCAGTTTAGCACATCTGTATGTCTGCATATATCAGATATATTAGATATAACATGTTATATCTAATGTATTTCTTGATAATACATCATTTCTCTTTATAATGATTTCTTTTTCTTTTAAGGTTAGTGTACTGTTAGTATTTTTGCAAATACTACTAAAAGTTTAAGCGTATTTCTACAATTGTAGTGCAGTTTGATAAATTGTACTGTATCTATTATGTTCATGTTTTGAAATAGTCTAAGTATTTAGAGCAGTGAATTCTATGAATGAAAATGTTTGTACTCATTCCCCTGCTTTTTATATAGATTTAATTGATTATCAGTTATGTAAACCTTTTAGACTTTTCTGTTTACCATTTTTTTCTCTTTTTAGTTTTGGAAATCAAATCCTAGTGTTCTGGCTGTCCAAAGATCTGCAATGCTTAGAAAGCAGCAGCAGCAGCAACAACAAACTTCCTCCAATAGTGGATCAGAAGAGGTGAACTTTTAGGAGACTATTTTTTAATTTGACACGGTGTTTTGTAGATCAGTCAAACTCTTAAGAAAATGTATATATTTTGAAAGACTGGTTAGGGGAAATGACTGCCCTTCAAAAAAATATTGTCTGTATGTTTGCTCTAGGATAATTTGTATACTCTTTTGAATTTAAATTCAAGGAGCCTGGACTATGACTCACAGAACACACTCAGGACAGCATTGATTTGCTATCAAAGTGATGATGTTGCTTTCTGAACCTTGACTACATTTGAAAAACAGAATGAACATTTTTGGAAATCTGATTCCTTCATTAAATACTTAACTCAATTTTTGAGGCATCTTGGTACTTTTAAAGAAATGCTGTAAAGGAGTAAGGGGGCCCTGATTTGACTATGTGACTGACCTTTGGCACAATCATTTAACCTTAGTGGACCTTAGTTTTCTCATTAATGAAATGAAGAAGCTAGAATAGATGAATCTCTAAAGTCCCTTCAACTTTAAATCGGTGATCCTATGATCAAGTATAATATATTAAGTTTAAGCAATAAAAAGGATAGAAACTTTAGCAATGCAGTACAAAGTTTTAGGATTTCACATACATACTGCTTCCTTATATAAACCTTATTTGTTGCTAGCACACAAGGAATGCTAAAAAATTTAACTATAGTATATTCTTATTTACTTCATATGTAAAATTGAATTGACTGTGACTTACTTAACATGTTTAAGTTATCAATTCTCTGCCTTCATTTGGGAATTCATAAGGAAGTGGAATTCCAGGTACCATTGCAGTTATTTCAGAAAATTCAGATAAGCATTTAAGCCACAAACTTGTTCTCTAAAGTAGGGTAGAGAGTAAAAACAAAAAGATTCTTGCAAACTAATTTAACTTTCATCTTTAAAACTAGTAGTACACCTATATATTTCTTGAAAATTGTACCTTTTTGATAACTAAGTAGTTTGTATTTCTTTGAAAAATTTTGAATTTCTCATTTGATTGATTTGACACAAGCCCAAGTTCTTATTTTGGTTTTATTAAATAGACCTATAATAGCAATTCATTTTTTTTTTGAATCAGCGTGATTGAAATCCAAAGGATATATAAAAATGTTTGTTTTCTATTAACATTTCTGGAATTCAGTGTTCAATTTTTAGAAGAATTACTTTAAACCACCCTGCTTCCCTCAAAATGCCTACAAATTTTTATATGTATATGAACACAAATATACATCTATATATATCTATATCTATATATCTGTATCTATATCTATATCTATATCTATGTCTATATCTATATCTATAGATATATATAAAATATAGTATGATCTATTTTGGTTTTTATTAGACTTAGTTTTAAGGAATAGCTCACTTGATAGAGATACACCAATTCTTTTATAACAATGGGAGCCAAGTATTAAATTAAAATTGTTAATTAAGTAATTATCTTATGTCAGGAAAGTTATCAGACATCAAAAAGTGTTTACTCTCTTTTCACGAGAAAATCAGGTCCATCATTTTATATTTTAATGTGATTCTTTGAACAGTTTGCAAAATTAAAATTTGACAGACAGAACTGAGCTAACACCTTTTAGAAATGCTTTTTATCACTGGAGTAGAGAGAAAAATCATTTAAATGATCTGAATTACTGAAGGCCATATTTTAATAGTTATTTTAAGTATTTTCCCCACCCTGTACAGCTGATATTTTTAAATTCAGATATTAGCTCAGAAGAAAGATAAGAGACTGACCAAGATGCAGCAGCCAATTGTTAAACTGTTTAACTTATTTTTAAAGGTCTTATATGAAGATTTTTGGTAGTATGGAATTAATGAATTCTGATGGGGAAGGAAAAATTAGTGTTAGGTGTTTGGCTTGTTCATACATGGAATCCTCAGCCATGAATATGTTACTACTAGCAAGTGGCCAACAGGACCACCAATAGTTTCAACAAGGTTATACTTTTGTATTGAAAACTAAAATTGTGTGCCTTACTTCGCCATTTACTTGAGATGATAGTTTAAATTTTTAAAATTACTTTAGTCAGTAAAAAAAGAAATAGTTCTACTGCTTTTTTATGAGGGGAATAAAGTAGTACAGAGAAGAAGAAAACAGAAATCTTTTCCTTGAAATATAATTTAAAAATTCAAACATTATTTAAAATAATTTCATGAACATTTTACACGTGTTACCACTTAGAACCAAGTATGTGACAACATATTAAACTTTAATTCAGGAATATCACTTTTAAAATTTCTACCATTAGACATTTAGAATTACCATTAGAACTTAACCTCATGATACTAATTTTATGCTGTAATATTTATTTTTCTCTTTGTAGAATTCTTCTAGCAGTGAAGATTCTGAAGATGAGTCATCCAGTGAGGTCAAGAGGAAAAAACATAAAGAGTAGGATGTCTTTTTAATCAACATAACTATATTCAACTTTACTATTATTACATAGGGGTGTGTGTGTGTGTGTGTGTGGTGTGTGTGTGTGTGTGTGTGTGTGTGTGTGTGTGTGTGTGTGTAGAAGTCAGAAATAGTCTTTGATTCATATTGTCAGTTATTAAGTTAGTCTAAGCAATTATTAGTCCTTATATTTTTTCTCCCATGACTACTTCTGAGAGTTTCTGCAACTCTATTTCATACCACCCACTTCAAACTAATAAAAGTTAGTGTTCATTTTTTTGTCATGCTATACCAGGAATCTTAACAACTAGAGGGAAATGAGTGTTATTTAGATGACATGAAGGTTTACTCCTTTCTGTTCATCTATTTAAATAACTAACTTCCTGATCTCTGGAACCCTTTCAGAACTTCCTCACAACCTTATGTGAGTCTCTACCTATAATTTAAGAAATATTGCTCAACAATAGTGACAGTAATAATAATGGAAATTTATTTATATTGAATAACAAAATTGGAAGAAACCTCCAGGGCCATTTGGTATTAACTTATACCTGAACCAGAGCCAGGAAGTTTTCATCAAATCTTTGCTTGAGGACTTTCAGTAAAGAGGATCCCACTACCTATTTATCTTTGGCTAGCTCTAAACATTAGAAAGTTTTTCCTTGTATCAAGCCTAAATTTGCTTAAGTCAAGAACTTCTACCTTTTGTTCCTGATTTTAACCTCTGGGGCAAAGCACAACAAGCCTAATCTTAAGAAATCTAACAAATGCTTTTCCACATGAAAGCTCTTCAGATACTATTGTGTACACCAGCATCCCTTTTTACTACACCATTCTGCTTCACAAAGGTAATAAGGACATGTCAAGTCATTAAGGTCATGATTGCTCAGCTTATCTGTGGAGAAAATGGAGCTATGTTGTAACTTCTTCCTGTTGGCGGAAGGGACCTTGGTGGTCATTCGAATAGCCTTTGAAATACAATAGTGTACTTATTTTAAGTTGTCCCACTTACACAGCATTATGTTTTCCTAAGCTACTAGCTCTGAATTAAAAACAAGAAGCTCTAGAATAGTTAGATGGCTTGTACTTTAAAGAGTATCATTTGAGCATTTATTTTTAATATTCACTTCTTTCTGTAGCTCTTTTTTTTGGTCTTCCTTTCATTTTTACCTTTCTTTTTTCTTACAAAACACACTTTTGGCCTATCAGTGGAAAATAGTAATATCAGTGAGTCTTCTTTTTGTTACTTCATTACACCCTTGGCTAAAGAGCTTACTAACTTTTGCCCCTAGATGGGACAGGTAGGTAACTCAATAGATGGAGTGCTGGGCCTGGAATCAGGAAGACCTGGGTTCAGGTGCAGCCTCAGACACTTATAAAGCTATGTGATCGTAGGCAGGTCAGTTAATCTGTTTACTTTAGTTTTTTCAACTGTGAAATGGGGATAATGACAACATCTACCTCTTAGGGTTGTTGTGAGTCTCAAATAAGAAAATATTTGTAAAGTGCTTAATATAGTGCCTGGAACATAATAGGTACTAAGTGCTTATTCCTTTACCTTCTCCTTTTCCCGTTCCTTCAAAAATATTGACAGTTTATTTTCATGTGAAAAACTATGCCCAGCTTGTTAAGAAAATGATTAGCATTTAAAGCTATTGTAGCACATAACATAGCATGTTCAGAATATGTATGAAGAGGCATATAAATTTCATATTTTAGTTTGCTGATCATAATACTTAGGACTAGAAGAGAACTTAGAGTTCAGTTATTTTTTAGGGGGGAAAATGTAGTGGTGTGCTTCATTCCTAAGTGAGTTTCTTAGTGGTTTACTTGAGAAAATGATATAAAGAGTAACTAAAGGGAAAATGTTAAGGGAGAAGAAGGTGAATAATTATTGACAAATGGTACCTTTTTTCTACGGTAATACAAGTTGAAAGTAGTATATGTGTTGAGTGGTATCAGAGTTAACCTAAAGATCATTTGCAAGATAGCTTAATATGTCATTCACTTACTAGGGGAGATAACTAGTAAATGCAATTAAAAAAGAGACTTAAGATATAGTTATCAGGGCCCTTCTAGAATTGAGTAGAACCACCAGTATCTTCACAGACATGTTTCACTGATATTTTTTTAAAGCCTATATACCTCTATATTTATTAGAAATATGTTTTACTCTCTAAAGCAGCGTTAGCACATATTAACTTTAAATATAACTTGTGTCACCATTAAAATGCCAAATTGGGCACCAAACCCAAAATATTCAAATTTCAAATTAAATTAGAAAAATAAAAGACATACATAGTAATCTCCTGTATTATATATATCTTGTTCATAGTTAAGAAAATTAAAAGAATGATTGATATAAATGTATAACTTGCTTTCAATGTAAAGTTATTTGGGAAATTCAGAAGAAAATATTATCTACAGGAACTTCAGTTGCATGCTCTTTGAGAAATAGGGTTTATATTATGTCTGATTTTGTATCTTCAGTGCCTTGCATAAAGTAATAGTTTAACAGATGTTGGCAGAATTAAATTGCCTGTTAGAATTTTTGGATGAAAGGTATTTCTAATACTGAGTTAGTTCAGAAATAGTGGCGTTTTATATATCAACCTACTTGTTGTTTGGCTAATTTTATAAATTTTGTATCTTATTTTTATGCTTCATTTAAAAAAAATTTCATTATAAGATTCATTGAAATACAGAAAATATATTTAAGTAACTCAGATGTAGTTACCTATAGTAATATACATATGGTCATTTAAAAATCTGGACACTAACACTGGTTATTCCTTTAATATATGCAGTGAGGATTGGCAGATGTCAGGGTCAGGATCTCCCTCCCAGACGGGTTCAGATTCTGAATCAGAAGAAGAAAGAGAAAAAAGCAGTTGTGATGAAAGTGAATCTGACTATGAGCCAAAAAATAAAGTCAAAAGCAGGAAACCTCAAATCAGGTAAAAATCAATATTCTTTAATTTGATATCATATTAAAAATCATCAGTGGTCAGGGGTAGTAATTCTTTTGTACATAGATATTGTACACTTAGTTTTAAGCCTCTTTTTGTGGTAGGGGAGGGTATGGACCTTTGATTTCATTGATGTGAGGAAGTCCTAGTGTGGAAACTCTCCAGTGGGGAAAATTATCAACTCCTTTAACTGTCTTAGTTACACGATCATCTAGTATTTGTCCGAGACATTTTGAACTAACCTGATTCTAAGACCCGCCCTTGTTCCTCTGTGTCATGTTACCTCTCAACTAAATCACTATTGTACAGTCCTTCAAAATATTTTTAAAGCATTTTATTTTTCCTTTCATAGAACTAAAGCAAAAAATGGAAAGAAGATCTCTGGACAGAAGAAGAGACAGATTGATTCTTCTGAAGAAGATGATGATGATTATGATAAAAGAGGTTCTCGTCGCCAGGCAACTGTCAATGTTAGTTATAAGGAAGATGAAGAAATGAAAACAGATTCAGATGATTTGTTGGAGGTTTGTGGAGAAGATGTTCCTCAACCTGAAGAAGATGAATTTGAGACAATAGAAAGGTTTATGGACAGTAGGATTGGAAGAAAAGGAGGTATTTTTATTTATTTACTCAACTTTAGCACAGAGTATAAGGAGGAACAATTCTAATCTTGTTTTGTTGGATATAGTTTTACTCCAGTGAATAATTCACTATATTCCCATTCTGTAGTTGAAAACACATTGATAAATATCTTCCTGTCCTTACTATTTAGTGGTTTGCTATTTGCCTAAGGAAAGTACTTGATTTTATTGAGTATTTTCTGTAAAAGAGAATATTATTATACTCTTTACCTCATATGTTGAGATTAATTAAAAGTTTTAAAATTATGAAGTTGTTTGAGTTCCTCGTAGTTATAAAATGCTATCAGGAAGGTAATGGTAATTTCAACATCAAGATATCTTTCACTTGAATTTTTCCAAGATTTGGTTTATTGTTATTTTTCACTACAAATGTAAGATATCATCAGTATTATTTTTATCTTGAGATATCCTTTGCTGATATTAAAAGCAAAAGAGTTCAGATACTTTGAAGCAGCCTTTTAGAAGTACTGTTCAGTTGTTTATAAGTTAAGTTGAGAAACTTTTTTTAATTGTGATTTGGATTTTGTGAGATTCTATAACTCATTTGAAATGGCCTGAAAAGTTGAATAGTCACTGAAAAGTCACGTTGTAGTTGATCCTTGGAAAATGGAAGTTATCTTTTGATATATGTAACTTGTTGCATACTTATAAATGTCCATATCATCCTGATGTAAATATTTGTACTATAAAAGTTTAAAAATTATTTGCAGAGGTTGAGTTTATATCATTTATTTTGATTCTGTATTATTGATGTAACTGCCCTACTCACTTATTTAAATAGCCTATTTTTAAAAAGAAAGTAAAAATTGTAAAATCTTGACTGAATTCTTAATTTGAGTCCAAAACAGTTTTCTTAAACCAGGAGAGGTTTGCTTAGCCCTTTTGTTGTTAATTCTTAATTTGAGTCCAAAACAGTTTTCTTAAACCAGGAGAGGTTTGCTTAGCCCTTTTGTTGTTATGTACTCATGAATACATATACACAAGAGAACTAACTTTATTTTTCTTTTCAGCAACTGGTGCTACTACAACCATCTATGCAGTTGAAGCAGATGGTGACCCCAATGCTGGATATGAAAAAACTAAGGAACCAGGAGAGATCCAGTATTTAATTAAATGGAAAGGATGGTCCCATATCCATAACACTTGGGAGACTGAAGAAACCTTAAAACAGCAGAATGTGAAAGGAATGAAAAAATTGGACAATTACAAGAAGAAAGATCAGGAAACCAAACGATGGTGAATATGCTTTCTAATCTCATTTAAATGTACAAATCACATGTACAACTACTAAGTGTTCTTGATAAAAATTGTAGATGAAAAATAATCAAATGTCATGTTAGCTCAAAATATGTTATTGTTAGCTAATTGGTATTTATAAAGTGAACTAAGTAGTAAAGGAAATGAAGGTAGTGCAATTAAACTAACATTCTTGAAACTAGGATGTGACCTCCTTCCTATAAGAGTAATATAAATGAACATGGAAGCAGGTAGAAGCCACTCAATCACTCTTGATCAATGTTATAAGGCCCCTTGAAAAGTTTCAAGTCACTATATTGAATTTCTTAGGATTGTGGCCAAGAGAAAATTGTTTGTGGACATACACGTGGACATAGATGAACAGTGGACACTGAAGTTGACTGTGTCAGCTTCACTTTTGTAGTTTCACAGTTGTTGGAATCTGCCATCTACTAGGTGACCTTGTACTTAACCAGTTCAAAGAACGTCAGAATTAGGAAAGTCTTTAGAGATGCCCTATTGAATGTCTCTAGGGATGGGGAACCTGTGGCCTTGAGGCCACATGTCCTCAGGTGAGGCCCTTTGACTGAGTCCAAGTTTTACAGAACAGATCCTTTTATTAAGGGGATTTGTTCTGTTAAGTTTGAATTCAGTCAGAGGGCTGCACTTGAAGATCTAGAGGACCATTTGTGGCTTCTAGGCCACAGGTTCCCCACCCCTGGAGCCCATTACCAAAAAGAATCCTGTCAACAACATTTCTGATAAGTGATGAACCAGGATCTACTTAAATCTCTTCAGTGCTAGTAAGCTTTTATTCAGGACCTCAGGCAGGCCTTCCATGACCTTTTAGTGAATGGAAACTTCTAAGTAGTCAGTCCTTTCATAAATATTATTTAAGCACCTATTGTGTGCCAGGTACTGTTATACAAAGGGGAAAATCCCTGTGTGGAAAGAATTCACAATCTAATGGCCAGAGCTTAGCATGCCTGGCACATAGTAAGCACTTAATAAATGCTGACTGACTGACTGGAAATAACTATGTACAAATGATGGTATGCACAGGATAAATTAGAAGTAAGTAGCCAAAAGAAGGTACTAAAGTTAAGAGGTATTGAAAAGGTTTCTTGTAGTAGATAGGGTTGTAGCAGGGGCTTCAAGGAAGCCAGGGAAGTCAAGAGGCATAAATAAGAGAAGAGAGCATTCCATGGGGGACAGCCAGTAAAAATTGCTGGAGTCAAGAGATGGAATGGTGATGAGTCTGTGAAGGGGTGTAAAGTGTAAGATGGCTAGAAAGCTGAGAAAGGAGGGAGCTAGTTATGAAGGGTTTAGAATGTCAGAAGATTTATATTTGATCTTGTAGGTGATATGGATCCATTGGAGTTTGTTGAGTAGGGAATATGACATGGTCAGCCCTTCACTTTAAGAAGATCACTTTGATAGCCGAGTGAAGGATGGACTGGAGGAGGGAGAGACTGGTAGCAAGTAGACCAACCAGCTGGTGTGAGGACCAGTAGTCCAGGCATGAGGAAGCAATGTCCTGCACCAAAGCGGTGGCAGCGTAGGAGAGAAAGGGGAATATGTAAAAGATGCTACAAAGGTAAAATCAGCAGGCCTTAGCAACATGAGGGTGGAGGAGAGAAAAAAAGAGAGAGACACTCTATTGAACAATGAATTGAAGAATAGAGGTCAGTGGAGGTGTTACAGCTGGATAAGTTGATTTGACAATCATCACTATAGAGATTATAATTGATTCAGTGGGAACTGATGAAATCACCAATGGAAACAGTATAGAAGAAAAAAGAGGACTCAGCAAAGAGCAGGCTACCTTCACCTGGGTAAAGATCCAGCAAATAATACTAAGAAGGAGTAGGCAGAGGTAGCAGGAAAATCAGGAGAGAGTAGTGTTACTGGAAATCTACAAAAAAAGAGAATATTAAGGAAAAGAGGGTGAATCACAATGTCAGAGGCTGCAGGGGAGGTCAAGAAGGGTGAGAATTGAGAGGAAAAAAAACAAATGTTAGGTTTGGTAATTAGAAGATCACTACTAACTTTGGAGAAAGCAGTTTCGGTTGAATGATGTGGTCAGAAGACAGGCTATAGAAAGTTAAGGAGAGAGTGAGAAGAGAGGAAATGGAGGCACCTTTTGTAGACTGTCTTCTTATGGAATAGTGCTAACCAAAAGATCTATCACCTATACTTATTGAGGATGGTGATGGGAAGGAGAGAAAAATATTTCTTTAGTGTCCTGGCGAAGAATTCCTTTCAGAGTTAGCCCATCCTTACTGAGAATTTCTTAAAAGTTCTCACTCATGCTATCCATTAAGAATAAGTCCTCACAACTTAATTGACAACCTAGTAGTTCTCATGCATCAGTTTACCCAGGTTGAGGCTCAGGAATCTGCTGCCTTTGCTCCAATTACATTGGCCCAATTTGTGGTCTGCTCCATGGCCTCTTGCTGCAGGGCCACCAGATATTCCAGGAGATCATGAAAATCTCAGGCCTAGTCATGGTTCACACCAGGCAATTGGATCTAATATGTTACAAAAGTATTATTTCTGTACGTCGGACTGTATTTCAATATGTATCTAGGTTCTATAGATAGTAGGGAAATGAGTAAAATCCATTGACAGAGGACCTCAAATAGACCTTTCTTAGGACCACAGATCAATCAATAAGCATTTATTAAATGCTTACTGTATTCTAACAGTATGCTAAGCATTGGTTATACAAAGAAAAAAAAATATTCCTTGCTCTCAGGATTACATTCTAATTGGTGTGATAAATTATACCTAAATTGGTGCAAACTAGGTGATTACAGGTTGGATGGAAAATAAATAGCCTTACAGGAAAGAGGACTAACAGCTGGAAAGACTGGGAAAGGCCTCCTGAGGTGTCACTTAAGGAAGCCAGGAATTCTAAGAAGAGCATTTCAAACACAGGGGACAAGCAGTGCAAATTCCCCAAGCTGTGAAGAGCAACAAGTAAGCGATTATGGCTGAACCATAGAGGTTTTGGAGGGTAATGAAGTGTAATAAGACTGGAAATGTAGGAAGAGAAAAGGAGCTTTAAATTCTAAAGAGAGAAATTTATATTTGATCCTAGAGTAGACAGGGAGCCATGGGAGTTCGCTGAGTGAGATCAAGGACTAGGATGTTTGTGACAGTCGTATCTATACTTTGGGGAAAATAGCTTTATCATCTGTGTTAGAATGGGCAGAGACTTGAGTCAGGAAGTAAAATTAGAAAGCTATTGAAGTAATCCAGGCAAGAGGTAATGAGGATCTAAATGAGGGTAGTAGCTATGTAAACAGAGAGAAGGTGTATTTGAGATATGGTTTAGGGAAAGGAATCACAAGAATTGGCAAAGTGATTATGTCAGTTAGTAAGACAGGGAAGTTCAAGATGACAAACCCGAGTGAATGGAAGAATGGTGGTATCCTTTACAATAAGTAATAAGGATGTTTGGAAGATAATTAATGGAAAGATAGTGAGTTGTGTGGGACTTTTTGATTTTGGGATAGCTATAGGGCACCGAATTTGAGAGATCCAAAAGGTAGTTAGGTCATATGGTACTTAGAGTTTTAGGAGAGACTTGTATTGGAATTAAGGATCTGGTAGAGAAGATAATTGAATGATTGATGAGATTAGCAAGTGAGTGTGCAGTGGGGATTCAAGAGACACTTGAGAAGAAATAAGAAGGTTTAGAACACCACTGTGGAGAGTAGATGAGTATAACATTTATCTCATTCCTAGTGAAGGCTAAATTGAGGTTAGATAACAAATTTGTAGTGGATGTAGTCAACACATCCTTTAGCTTTGTTCACCAGCACATGAATGTACAGAGTTGAACTAGTTCACCAAGAGACATAGGGAAGGGAAGAGAGACTAGTTAGAGCAGGGTAATGGCCTGGGATAGTACTCGAGAATGGAGGGATTTGAAGTCACAGTAAGATTGAAGAGTAAGAAGAATAAGGCATAGGGAGAGATGGAAAGATAAAAGATTATGATTGGATAAAGGAGAATGAGAGCTCTTGAACAAGGAATTGAAATACTTGTTTGGAGTAGGAAGGGGAGCCAAGATGGTAAGGTAAAGGTATGACCATCTCCATATGTAGCAGTTATAAGAATGCATAATAGAATAATAGATAATAAAAGAAAAATAGAGTAGATTGAGGAACTGTGATACCAGGATGTATGAGGGAACATTAACTTGTATGTTGAAGTCACCATGCTATATATGGAAAGGAAGACTAAGCCAATCAGTGAACCCATTAAGAACTGAAGGAATATGTCCAACTCTTGGAACTGAGTTCCTACATCATTGCATGTTATATATCCAGGCCCTGAAAGATTACTTGCCTTTGAGAAATTCCTGTGTGTAGCACTTGTGCAAGAGTAAAATAAATTTCTCTGCAGCCAGTAGATACACTTATATTGCTGGTACTCGTTGATATAATTAAGGAGTCACTTCTGCTGGCCAGACTCATGGGAGTGAATCCCTTGGAGGTAGCATATACTGATCTTATTCCCCTGGATGTTAACTAATCTCTTCTGATTCTTTACTTGTAGAAATCAAATGACTGGCTTAATATAACTCAACCAGCAGCTGAGGTTCAAAACATCTCCTTACACTAAAGTAACTGGGGTGATGTAGTGACCAGCCAATGTTAGCTTTCCTGTTGATGCAAAACTTTCATCCTGATACTTTAAGGGTGTTGTCAGTTCAATAGAGGCATAAATACACTTCCTCTCTGACCATTGTACTGTACCATCCATCAAGCCTTAGATTCCCCTAGCCCAGCAGATCACATCTAAACCCTTAGGATTCAGAAACTGAGGTCCTCTGAATTCATAAAGAGATTTATACAAAGGCATCATCTGACATTTGACCTCCTCAACCTAAATATTTGTCTTGTTTATATGGGGGGGTAGTAGAATCCTGTGCTCTTGTCATGACATTTGTCCTCTGAACACTGTCATCTTATATGACTACCACCTCT